GTTTTCTAAATATAATTTCCTGTTTAAGTTAAAAATACAAAGTCCCAAATATTTATAACTTTCTCAGTTAATTTACATTCACAACTATTTTTTATCATAAACAAAATTTTCATCATGGCATATTATATCTAAACTGCTAATTCTTTTATTATCTAATGATATATAATTTTTTGGGTAAAATATAACAAAATATGTTCCTTATGTAACTTTTCTCTAAAACCAAATTGTGTTTCAACAAGTAAACTAATTTTTTTTGTATAAATGATTTTAATCATAATTTGACTATTTGTTCAATAGTTTTGATAAAACAGGAACCACTTGGAAGGATAAACTGTAAATATATACTACTGGCATATTAACATAACTATATATTTTTTATGATGTAGATTTTTAAATTATCAAAACCAGAATTTTTTAAATTTTGTAACCATTTACTGTACTTTTAATTTGATTACATGTTGTGAAATGAAAAATACTGTCTTAGGGTTTGGATTAGATGCATTTGTTGTAGTTGAAGTTGTTATGTATTGATTATATCTTTGAACAAATATTTTATCTTGTAATACCAAATCATTTTTATTTTCACTTATTATACTGTTCATCTAATTAAACTCTTTTCTTATATTTCCATTACATTACATAAACTGTTTTTTAATATATTCATATCTTAAATTTCTTAACATAATAGTATGAGCTGATTTTTATATTTTTAAAATCCTTTTCATATTTATTATGATAAGTATTATTTTTATATTTCTTACACATCTAGATTTTTTACAAATTTTATAATTTTTAAAGTAATCCAAGGTTTCATTTCTTTTATATTTTATGTCATTCCATATAAATTAGAAAAAAGAAACAAATGAAAATACCAAACTGAGTTGTTGACTGATTGGATTACAATATCAAAATATAGTATGACCAAACTGAGTTGTTGACTGATTGGATTACAATATCAAAATATAATATGACCAAACTGAGTTGTTTACTGATTGGATTACAATATCAAAATATAGTATGATCAAACTGAGTTGTTGACTGATTGGATTACAATATCAAAATATAGTATGACCAAACTGATTTGTTGACTGATTGGATTACAATATCAAAATATAGTATGACCAAACTGATTTGTTGACTGATTGGATTACAATATCAAAATATAGTATGACCAAACTGATTTGTTGACTGATTGGATTACAATATCAAAATATAGTATTACCAAACTGAGTTGTTTACTGATTGGATTACAATATCAAAATATAGTATGACCAAACTGAGTTGTTTACTGATTGGATTACAATATCAAAATATAGTATGACCAAACTGAGTTGTTTACTGATTGGATTACAATATCAAAATATAGTATGACCAAACTGAGTTGTTGACTGACTGGATTACAATATCAAAATATAGTATGACCAAACTGAGTTGTTGACTGACTGGATTACAATATCAAAATATAGTATGTTTTTGATTTTTAAATTCTCATATTTGCATAAAATTTTTAATCATTCTGTTGTGAATTCTAGCCCTGTTACCTTTGCTTGGCATGGAGGAAGCCTGCTGTCTGAAAATGAAGAAGCTCCAAAAATGATTGTGTCTAAAAAGATGTATGAAGAAAATGGGATGAACCTTTGCTTAGAAAAATTTGATGTCTGAAACAAACAATTGAAATAATTTTTATAGTAATTTATATTGTGTATGACCAAGGAACTCGGTAGGCATAATACAAACACGCATGCTAAAAAAAATCAACAATGGCAGAGAGCTTTACTTTAAAAGATGATTGCCCCTCACTTTCATTTCTTTCTGTACCAAACAAACCCAAAAACAAGGCAAGAAACCATCGTCAAGATACCAAACCAGAAAGTGACCAACCCACTAAATTATTCATCTGTCTTCTTGTTGTTTCAGTTGAAATAACTCTACAACTACTTTATCACTAATGTCAGTCAAACATAAATCCACTCTAGTGTTTCTGGAAAATGCATGGTGTTGATGTCATCACTTAGTCATAATAACTAGTAGTAATTACAACAAAAAAATCATAATTCTAGTGTAAACTATGTTATCATTACTCCTTGAAGTTTGTTTTTTAAATGAAATCTGGTGTCCTTTAAAAAATGTAAGCACAGGGTGAAACGGGAATTACCAGCCAATAATAGATAAACATTAGATGACTGTAACATGTAGATACCTAATGTTTTGTACACTATACAATCGGTGTCTTTAGGAAGCCAAGCCATATATTATGTATGTAGTGAAGGAGTAAAAAAAAAATCGATACACATAATACTAAATTTTATAACTCACCTTCAGAGAATACACTAACTTTCAGTCAGGGGAAAAACATCCCAAAACAAGTAGTAAAAAACATTTTGTAAATGTAAAATGATGTAGGGATGGCAGTGCCAAAAAGAATGCAAGCAAGAATATAGGAATGATACAGCTATACATAGATCATCCCTATATGACTTTCAATATTAAAATTTAATGTTACATTGTAAAACACATACTTGACTTTAATATTACTGGAGTTAGAAGTTATTCCAGACTGTTGGTATGCGTTTTGTCATAATATCATAGTCATGTCAGGATAGGTATTAGTGTAGTGTCACTAAGAGCCTCGGAATTTCCTACACGGAAAACCATGTTGAGTCAAAACATGTCTTGATTATTATAGACACTCACTACGGGGTCGGTCGAATGTATCTGCCTCGTAACTATTTTGTACTCCTGCATTTTACAGTGTGACATTAAATTTTGATACTGAAAGTCTTGTATGGATGATTCATCTATAGCTGTATCATCCCTATATTCTTCCAACAAACATTCTCACGTTATAATGTGACGGTCTATTCGTTGGTAAAAGAGTAGCCCAAGAATTGGCGGTGGGTGGTGATGACTGGCTGCTTTCCCTCTAGTATTTCACTGCTAAATTAGGGACAGCTAGCGAAGATAGCCCTCGTGTAGTTTTGCGCAAAATTCAAATCAAACCCTATATTCTTGTTTGCATTCTTTTTGACACTACCATCTCTGTATCATTTTACGTTTACAAAATGTTTTTTATTACTTGTTTCTTGTAAAATGTACAATCTTGAAAAGTTGCTGTTTTGTTTTTTAAAGAAAATTGTACAGAAAAACAGGATGGAAATGTTACTTTGTGTTATAACTTAAGGAGCTCAAATAATTGTTTCAACCTACAGTTTTTGTTTGTTTTTGTGTGCATGTTAAAAGTTCCTGTTGCGCACAAATCTGTGTACAAGTACTATCGTTATTTAACGGCGTTATAAAACCACATGATTTGTCTTTCAATGCCAGCGTTTCCTATTATTCAAGTTTAACTTTTACATTCGATGGTAATGTCTCTTGGGCGTTAGTATTTAAAACCATTTATTTAGCTTTAAAAGAATCTTTATATCAACCTTTGAAGGTCAGTCTAGGAATCGAAAATAATAGTGAATATAAATTTTAAAAACAATAGAACTATTTTATGAAAGGATTCATCTTATCTGTTTTTCCTTTTTGAGTATTTCTTTTTCTCATCCTTGTCTTTTATGTGGTACAGATCCGCCAATGTGTGGCCTTTGCGACACTCAAGTCACCATTGTCCGTCCAGCTATTGCTTTCGTGCCGTCGTTACGATTCAATTCCAGATCTTGGCAGTAATTTTGATTTTAAATCTTTCCAGGCCTGAAAGATAAGCAGGGGCGCTTAGAAACTGTTGTTTACGATTGCGAATGGCAGTTCCATTTTAAACGTGTTTTTCTCGGGGTTTATTCTTGACGTTGCACAGTGTCATTGGCGATGGTGACACTGTCCAGCTTGAATGTGTTTTTCAATTTTTACGGGCCATTGGCCTTTTTTATTTCTATTTAATTTTTACCTGATTTTTGGGCGTTGCTTAGTTATTAACTTGTTTTCTTTTAACCTTTTGTAGTGTTTTACTTCTTTTTACCTTTTTCACGGTTGTTTAGCGCAGATAGCCTGGCTGCTTTGCACCATTAAGCTCCAAGCAACCAACCATTTCTTTTTCCTGTTGTTTTAGGACTGAAAACTTTATTTATTGTGCGTAAACGCAAATTCGTTTCGGAGACATGTATCAAACCGCTGATTTTCATAAACATCATAGCAACATGTATGTATAGTAGCTTAGGTTTGCAGATATTCTACATTAATACAATTTTCGCTTTGAACTTGTTAATATCGATCTTAGAAATTATCCAAAACTTTGGCCATTAAAAACCGTCCACCGAAGGTCTTAGTAACGTACAAAGCTTTTATTTATTTGTGATATGTTTTTAAAACATAACAATTAGCAAAATAAATAAACTTTTCTGTGTAAGCAATTAACAGCCGAACAATATTACATGTTTATGAGAAACATTAGTATTCTTTATAAGGTTTTAATTAATTTCTTTGAAGTTCAAATTAAAATATTTCATGTTATTTAGAACCCTCCTTCTAAACCTTATTTTAAACCATTGTTTTGTCTCCCAGAAAACAATGAACATCTAAATTCCAATCAAAATGTACTGGTTGTGATTTCGCTAAAGCTATTAAAATCGTAAGAGTCTAACAGAACAAACGTTAATGTTTTTATAAAATGTTATTCAAAAAGCATAAACCATTTACAATATTGTTTCTCTGTTTGACATTTAAACTTTAATTTGCAAACTTATCGAGATGGAAGTTGTATGGCTTCATATGAATCATTTATTGCACTCTTGACTCTTCTGGACCGGACATGCCCAAGTGGTTAGCGTGCCGAACTATAATAGTGAGAGTACAAGGTTCGCAACCCATTGCCGCAAAAACGTGCCCTGCAAGTTGGTGGTGTTTGTGCATTCTTAGAGTGATGGTGAAGTCTCATTATACGATTAGAATTGGATGTTATTAATTAGCTGCATTCCCTCTAGCATGTCAGTTCAAAATTAGGGATGGTTAGCTTTGTGTAGCCTTATGTGAATTTCTGAAATAAATCAAAGTTGTTTTTTTCAAACTAACTAAGTTGTTGCCATCCAGTGGCTCAGCGGTAAGTCTGGGAGCTTATAACTCTAAAAACCCAGTTTCAGTACTAGCAGTGAACAGAGCACAGATACCCCATTGTGTAGCTTTCTGATTAACAACAAAACGGACAAAATATCTAAATATTTATCGTTTTCTTTTATTCATTAACATAAAATTGCTTTAACAATACCAAGGCGTCTGTTAGACGGATAGATTTTGAATAAAGACCTTAAATCTTGGAAACTAATAACCTCTTGTTGTGTAATATTTCTATCAAGCAACAATATTCAACTGGTAAACCGTATACATGCAACCAGTCAAAATCTTGGCACCACCTCCTAGTTAGTCTTGCATGGAAGGAATAGTAGATAATGTGACGTGATGTACTTCTTTGGTACAACCAAGGTCAATCATCGCACTGTGGAGAGTGATTGACTATCTTACTGACGAGTACCTCAAGGTAAAAAAAAAGTCGTTAAAGAAGCCCAGTTGAACCGTCTCCAGTAATGTGTTCATTACCGAGAAATTCATGAAATAATCATTAGTGAGCCCAAAACGCTACTAACTTTGACATATAGCAACAGTTGGATTTTCTCCACTCATTACAGCTAACAAGGCGGAAAAACTCTTCAAATTCTGCCAGCTTAAATCTAAAAACAATAAACCTCATCTGGCATGACTAGTTTGCTTGTAAATAGTGTTGAAGAGAAAAATTTCAGGACGATTTAATGGCCCTTTTTAATCATAAAAACTAATGTTTTGTTATTGTTACCAGGTGATTTTATGATCGTAAAATTTCTGATCGCGGCTGTTAGTCGACATCTTTGTAAGATCACGAGGCTTGAGAATGAAAATAGTTTTTTTTTAATATAGGGAGTTTGATTTTTAAAACTTATAATTGAACTTAATAAATCTTGGTTTTTAATTCCAAGAGGTTTATCGAAGCTAATGTTTGTAATTGTCAATAATTACTGTTCAAAGTAAGCTAACTACAAAAATCAGAACTAAAAATAGTTTAAGACATAATGGACTTAGTAAGAGTATGTAATGTCGTAAAACAATTCACAAGAACTTGTAATAATTAGAATATACCGAATCGTCATTTGGATATCATCGATATTTTAGGGATAATCTAATAGTTCACGAGGTTAGGCCTTAGGAATTTAGGTTAATCCTAAATCCACCTACTAACAATTTAATCTTCATAAGTGTAAAAAGATAATAAATAAATTTATCTCTCCCTATGTATGTATATCTATCCATATATAATAATATGTATATGAAACTTATTTTAACAAAATAGTAAAGTACACAAGGTTTCCTACCTGCTCCTTTTTATGCAGAATTTTTCAACATTTTTCGCTTATTGTAAGTAAATGCAGCTAAGGTATTTTCAAGTGAATTAATTTTCGTGTAAACGACAGATGGACGAAAAAACCTCTAATAATGAATCGCACTTAATAACAGTGAAACAAAATCAAACCCATTAACAATGATTTCAAATACATTTAACTACAATGCACAGTCTTTTAAATACGACCTTAGCTATAATTGGAGAATGAAATGCAATCCATTATAATAAAACCCTTTAACTTAAATTACACAGTACACTAGAAAATTGACCCTTTAACAACAAATGAAATGCAATAAGACTTTAATTAACATAGATGTAGACGAAAATGTCCTTCAGTAGCAAACATATTAATACCTCTAACAAAGATCAAGCTATACGCAAGTACACACAAAGATAGAAATAAAACATCCTTTAACTGCCTACTCTATTTATAACAGATTAAATATAAATTTGAAATAAACAAAATGAAATGCCTTTATTAAATGAAATACATAATGAAAGCACAATGCAGAAAAATGAAACCTTTTTCATTAATCAAAACATTATCAATCTACTACGAAAAAGAAAGAAAACTTATTCATGATAGGCACATTAACGTAACTCATTTTACAATTAAAAAGAAAA